TCCATTAGCTGCAAAGCTGCAAATCTGGGTAACACTTTAATAATTGGAGATTTTATAATTTGGCACAAATTTCCAGTAGTAGCCGGCCATTCCTAGGAACGCTAGAACCTGGGTTTTGGTAGGGGAGGGTGGGCCACTGAGCTTCGGCCTCAACCTTTGCCGGTTCGGGCTTTTGTTTCCCACACCCCATCCGGTGTCCTAAATACTGGACTTCTTCCATTCCAATATGGCATTTGCTCGGCTTGAGGGTTAAGCCAGCCTCCCTTATCCGGTCTAGTACTGCCCCTATATGCCTAAGTGCTTTTTCCAGGTTTCGCAAAAAATTATCCAAGTATGCACACCCATAATCTTGGAAGCCATCGAGCAGCTGGTCCACCATACCTTGGAACATAGGTGGGTTTTTCATCCCGAAGTACATGACCTTAAACTGGTACATGACCTTAAACTGGGAATGGCATTATGGGCTAGGGGGATTTGCCAATAAGTTTCCCTTACACAGATCGATGGTTGTAAGATACTGATCTTGGGCCATCCGATCTAAGAGCTCATCTATCCTCGGCATGGGGTAAGTGTCTGACCGTTTTGTCATTGAGTCTCCGGTAATCTACACAGAAGCGGGTTGTTCCATCCCATTTCGGAACCAAGACTACGGGAGAAGCCCAAAGACTATCAGACGGTTCTATAACCCCGAGACGGAGCATCTCTTGGATCTCCTGTCTTATATGTTCCCTGACAACCTCAGGAATTCTGTAGTGAGTCTTGTGGAGGGGTGATTGTTCGGGTGTTTATATAGTGACTAGCGGAGTGTATTCAGGTACGTTTGAAAACGTTGCTCCCTTCGTGGCTAGCATTTGGCGTACCTTGAAATGCTCTCGAGTGCCTAGCCGTTCTCCTAGCTGGACATCTTCTAGGGAGCCTATCTTATCATCTTCCCCCAGGAGATCTGGCAGGGGAAGATTTTCAAAATCATCGGAGGCGGGCACACATATGGCTGCCACGTCCTCCGTCCTCTTATAGTCGGGTTTGAGCATGTTCACATGGAGCATGCGTCTCCCCCCACTACCAGAGCAAGGGCCGATCACGTAAGTGGTGTCACATCTCTGTTCCATCACTTGGTATGGGCCCTGTCAGTTGGCCTGTAGCTTGTTGTGGTGAACAGGTTTTAAAATCAGAACCTTTTGGCCAATCTGAAAGCTACGTCCCCTGGCACAACTGTCACACCATTGGCGCTGATGAGTAGACATAATAAATAAAAATGTAATTTGTCCGTTCCCAATTTCGTCCATAAACCTTTCATTTTTCAGACGAAATTCATTAAAAAATCATTTGTTTTCATCCATTAGCTGCAAAGCTGCAAATCTGGGTAACACTTTAATTATTGGAGATTTTAATTACCCAGATATAAATTGGGACAGAGGGACTAGTGCCTCAGCAAAGGGAATTAGGTTTTTAAATTTGTTAAATGACACCTTCATGTCACAACTTGTACAAGCACCAACTAGAATGGATGCTTGTCTGGACCTGGTTTTAACAAACAACGTTGATCTTTTGACCAACATTCAAGTAGGTGAGCACTTGGGAAATAGTGATCACAATATAGTGTCCTTTGAAATAAACTCAAAAAAACAAAAGCACATGGGGAATACTAAAACATATAATTTTTAAAAGGCCAATTTCAATAAGTTAAGGGAAGCTTTACAATATATTGACTGGCATAAACTCTTTAGTGAAAAGAACATTGAGGATAAATGGATCATCTTCCAACAAATATTAAAAAGGTACATTTCTTAGTATGTACCATTGGGAAATAAATATAAAAGAAACAAATTAAAACCAATGTGGCTTAGTAGAGACGTAAAACAAGAGATTACAACTAAGAAAAGGGCATTTAAAGCATTTAAATCGGACAAATCAGATGCATCTTATAAAAGATATAAGGATGCAAATAATGCGTGCAAAAAGGCAATTAGACTTGCTAAACTTCAAAATGAAATAATGATAGCTGAAGAGAGCAAAACCAACCCCAAAGCATTTTTTAAGTACATAAATTCTAAAAAAAAACTAAAATGAAAGTGTAGGTACACTAAAAACTGAAACGGGGGTGTTAGTTAATGAAGACCAGGAAAAGGCAGGAATTTTAAATAACTATTTCTCCTCCGTATATATTAAGGAAGAACCCATGGCAATAGATGTGCAAATGATTGCTACTAAAAACTTGCAGAATAATTGTAATTGGTTAATTCAAGACAAGGTGCTGCAGCAACTAAAGAAAGTTAATATAAACAAAGCTCCAGGGCCTGACGGTATCCATCCACGTGTACTTAAGGAACTAAGTGCAGAAATAAGTGAACCTCTGTTTTTAATCTTTCAAGATACTTTTCTTTCAGGAAGTGTTCCGAAGGATTGGAGGAAGGCAGATGTGGTTCCTATATTCAAAAAGGGTTCAAAATCCTTGCCTGGAAATTATAGACCTGTGAGTTTAACTTCTGTGGCTGGTAAAATATTTGAAAGGTTATTAAGGGATAATATTCAAGAATTCCTTGAGAAGAATATGGTTATCATCAAAAATCAGCACGGTTTTATGAAGCACAGGTCATGTCAAACTAACTTGATTGCGTTCTACGAAGAAGTAAGTAGAAGTATAGATCAGGGTGTTGCTGTGGATGTGATCTATTTGGATTTTGCCAAGGCATTTGATAAAGTTCCACACAATAGATTAGTGTTCAAACTCAAGGAAATCGGTCTAGATGAAAATGCTTGTTCTTGGGTAGAACATTAGCTTAAAAACAGAGTACAAAGAGTTGTCATTAATGGTAAATTTTCAAGCTGGACAGAGGTGGTAAGTGGTGTCCCTCAGGGGTCTGTTCTGGGACCCCTTCTATTTAACATGTTTATAAATGATCTTGAAGACAGCATTGAAAGTCATGTTTCAGTGTTTGCAGATGACACAAAACTTTGTAAAATAATACAATGTGAGCAAGATATTACTTTGCTGCAGAGGGATTTAGATAGACTGGGGACTGGGCACTCAAATGGCAGATGAAATTTAATGTTGAAAAATGCAAAGTTATGCACTTCGGCGTAAAGAATACACAAGCAACGTATACCCTTAATGGAAGTAAATTAGGGATAACAACACACGAAAAGGACTTGGGAATTGTTATAGACAACAAACTATGCAACAATGTGCAATGTCAATCAGCAGTGGCCAAGGCCAGTAAGGTATTGTCATGCATGAAAAAGGGCATTCATTCTCGGGACAAGAATATAATTTTGCCTCTTTATAAATCACTGGTAAGACCCCATATTGAATATGCTGTGCAATTTTGGGCACCTGTTCTAAAGAAGGATATTATGGCACTAGAAAAAGTGCAGAGGCGGGCTACAAAATTAATAAAAGGAATGGAACATATCGGCTATGAAGAAAGGTTAACAAATTTAAACCTATTTAGTTTAGAAAAACGTCGCCTGAGAGGGGATATGATAACATTATACAAATATATTCGGGGCCAATACAAACCATTGTGTGGAAATCTATTCACAAACCGGAGGACACGAGGCCATGCGTTTAGACTGGAAGAAAGAAGATTTCGTCTAAAGCAAAGGAAAGGTTTTTTTACTGTAAGAACAATCAGGATGTGGAATTCTCTGCCTGAAGAAGTGGTTTTATCAGAGTCCATACAGATGTTCAAACGGCTACTAGATGCATACTTGAAAGAACAGAATATTCAAGGATATAATCTTTCAATGTAGGGTAATAACTGCTTGATCCAAGGATAAATCTGACTGCCATTCTGGGGTCAAGAAGGAATTTTTTTCCTACTTTGTTGCAAAATTGTGCTTCAAACTGTTTTTTTTTGCCTTCTTTTGGATCAACAGCAAAAAACAAATGTGAGGTAGGCTGAACTTGATGGACGCAAGTCTCTTTTCAGCTATGTAACTATGTAACTATGTAACTATTAGGATGAAAATAGCACTGCGCATGCGCAAAAAAACAAAAGAAGGAGGGAGCCAGCAGGGCTACCAGCTCCCTCCTTGTAATAAACCATTCCTTCCCCCTCCCCTTGCATTAAAACCTATGTGGGTCACTATGACCCTCATATTGATAAAAGGGAGATTAATTCATTCCGCATGCCCCTACCCTCATGCCTTCCCATACTGACTAAAATGACTCTCTGATTGGTTGATTTAAAGCAACCAATCAGAGTGTTATAAGTCAAATTACACAGCATGGGAAAATTCCTAAGAACTTTCCCACTCTGTGTAAAATGACTCTCTCATTGTTGATTGGACGCAACCAATCAGAGTGTTATAAGAGAAATTACACAGCATGGGAAAATTCCAAAGAACTATCCCACGCTGTGTAAAATGACTCAGAGCACTCAGGGTGCTGTGACAGGTAAATGTAGAGACTTACCTATCAGTCTCTTCATTTTCCTGTCAGAGCATTCTGATTGGTTGGCTTGAAATCAACCAATTGCAGGGCATGGGAAGGCTTTATAAGCCCTTCCCCGCCCTGCGTAGCTCATTATGCGCAGTGCCCTCGCTGGGTGAAGTTGGATTATTTTTTTTGCGTCAGGATTTTTTTTGGGGGGGCGTATTTTTTGGGGGGTGCTCGTGTTTTTTTTGTTGTTGTTTTTAACAATTGCGATGGGTATTATGGATTTTTATTTGGCCTTTTTTGGGGCTGAAGAAAGAAAAAAAAAGAAGAAAGAAGACATCTAATGGTAAGTATGACATTTTATTTTACAGATGTAAGGGATGCCAGTACTCCAGCTGAGCACATCTTGAATAATCTCCCAAGTCCCAAGCGCCGTAGTGATTATAAATGGTGTGACCATAGCCTGCAATCCCCCAAACATGAGCCTAGACTTCATGAAGGGGTAAGATGATCTCTTTAATCCATGCTCAATGGCCTGCGTTTATACATTTCAGAGCAAACACGCCCAAGACACTCCCACACAAAACAGGGTAATCCCTCCTCTGTGCCTGAGATATAGAGTCAGGAACTGTACAAACTCAATTATCTCCAGGCACAGAAAACACACAATTTATAAAACACCACAAAATACACATAAAATACACAAAACCCCTACAAAATTTACATCCCTTCATAGCCCGATCTGGGTGACCAACATATCCAAAAATCACTAGACATGTGTGTAGCGGCACCCCGAAGAGTGAGGGGTTTTCCCCGCCAAGAGATGTCCTTTCTCACCTGTTGTGAGAGGGAGGCTGTAGAGTAGAGCAGGAACAGCTCTTTAAAGAGCTAGTGATTATAATACTCCAAAGAGCAATCCCAAGAGCATGGATTGCAGCAGGTATAGCTTTTCCCTACAAGCACAAGACAAGGCTCTGTGTTGAGGGTAAATCAAGAACTGAAGGTTTGATGGGGCACACTGGCCTTTTATACAATTTTCCCAACAAGGGCACCAGCCATGTGGACCTTGTTGGGCACAGGGACACAAGATCAACAAGCCAATAAAAACAAAGTTTTACATTCAGACACTCCCCTATAGTGTACATAATCCCTCCTCTGTGTTTGGGAGATAATTGAGTTAGTTACTGTATCAACTCAATTATCTCCAAACAAAAAAGTTTTTACACATTTTTAAAAACACCCCAAAAACATAAGAGAACCCCATAAAACATACATTTCCTGATAGCCCCGATCTGGTGGTACACAATACTTAAAAATCACCCAGATCAGTTTAGGGGTTCAAAAGTTAACTGGAGGTCACATTTCTGCCCAGCCGCCCACGAGGCTACTGCCCAGAATAGTTTCATGAATTCAGCTGGGTAGGCCGGTCTCTTTCGAGAATATGAAAATACATCAAAATAACGAATCAACTCTTTGTGTCTATGATTCCCCAGTGCAAAAGAATAATAAGCGCTCTCTTCTCAGGGGTGAGCAGCAGTTCACCAACAAGGTGTTCCTCTACCTTGTGATAAATGGACAGATAAAATAGAAAGGTGAACAGCGCTAAAAATCAGAAAATGTACATACGTTTTGTAGAAATACTGGCCAGCAGAGTAGCTTAAAAAAAAGAGAAACAAAAATACAAATAATGGTACAGTATGTATGAACGATATAATTCCACAAGAACAAAGGTGTTATATTCACACTCACACTTTGAGGAGCTATATCAGCTCGGTGTTAAGAGCCTGGACGGAATAATCCCCGTCTATGGATTTCTTGAGGTTCAAGACCGTTGGTGAATTTATAGGTGTAAATATTTGTTACATGAAAAACAAGAGTAAAATACACCACATGGTATAGTACGTAAATATAAAATATTGTGAAAAAAAAGTGGATGATCCTACTTACATATACTAGAGCAACGACCTGCTCTAGTTTGGAGAATTTCAGGTGGAATAATCCCCACCTTGGGATATTGCGCCCAGCTATGCCAACCTATTCATGACGGAATGGGAAAACAGATGGATATGGGAGGGGCATAGCTGGTGCGCGAACCTGGTCTCATATCATCGCTATATCGATGATCTCCTCTTTATATGGGAAGGACCCATGTCTTCAGCGGAATCCTTCATTAATTACTTAAACCAGAATAATGAAGGTATAATTTTAACCTCCAATTTTAGTAACCATACAGTAACCTTTTTAGATTTAGAACTCTATGTTAAAGAGAACACACTTTGCACTAAAACACATTTTAAGGAAGTACATACTAATACCTTTATCAGCTATGATAGCTGCCACAACCCCATATGGCTCAATGGAATACCCAAAAGCCAATTCCTCAGACTGAAAAGAAACTGCTCAGAAGCATCAGTATTTCACACTCAAGCAACTAACATGAAACAAAAGTTCATACAAAAAGGCTACAACCCCAAAACAATAGACAAAACTATAATATCAATAGATGAGACACAAAGAGAATCACTATTGCTCCAAAAACCACCTAAGGACCCTCAAACCAACAGATTCACTCTTCCTTTGATATTCGACTATAATAATAAAAACAAACATATCAAAAAGATTATTAACAAAAATTGGCATTTACTTAAAGAGGATCCAATACTAAGTGAAGCCCTACCAGATAAACCTACTATAATATACAGAGGTGCACCTAATCTAAAATTACAACTTACAAATAATTTCACTAGAAATCAAAACATACAAAAAAACAATTTTTTAACTATCAATAAAGGTTTTTTTAGATGTAACACGTGCATATCATGTAGAAAAACACACAAAATGGAAAAATGCACATCAGAGTTTAAGTTTAACAGAAACAAAAAGCTCTTTAACATTAATGAAATTTTAACGTGTAATAGTAATAACGTAATCTACATGTTAGAGTGTCCATGTGGACTACAATACGTCGGCAGAACAATAAGGCCATTGAAAGTAAGAATTAGTGAACACTGCCGTAATATTGAAAAAGGCTACAAAAATCACTCTGTATCTGCGCACTTTTTACAGCACAACAAAGACCCGCAGCCTATTAAAATTTTTGGGTATTGCTAAATATAAACCACATTGGAGAGGGGGCGACACCACCAGAAACATAGGCAAGTTAGAAATGGAGTGGGTCTATCGTTTAGATACCCTCCACCCAAATGGACTTAATATAGAATTCGATTTGGTTCATTTTTTATAATTCATTTTGTAAAATTTATTTTTTATCACTCGTTCTATAACCCATTTTCAATGGGTGTTTATAAATTCTTTTACACCCTTTTATGCAGATATTACTGTGTTTTTATACTATTTATATTTCCCCTAGTTGTATATACATGTCCCCTTTCCATTTAAAGTATGTCCTTTTTCGATATGGCATCTTTTGAGCTCAATTTCTATCACTAGCCCATCAAGTAATTAATTATTATATCTTTTATGTCACTTATATGCGCTATGTGTATCCATTTCTGTAATTATTCAAGTTATTAGCTGATTCAATATGTTATTATGTTATTGTATACTTTTGATTCCTATTTTTGAACTTTCCACAAATTGCCCATATCCAAGTTGGCGTCCGGAGAACTTCTTGTCTATACTATCTTGCTGAAAACAGGAAATGAGGAAATACACATAGTAGAATCGATTTCCACTATCATATACTCTATGTGTGTCCACATCTGTAATTATTCACGTTTTTATCTGATTCAATATGTTATTATGTTATTGTATACCTTTGATTCCTATTTTTGAACTTTCCCACAAATTGCCCACATCCAAGATGGTGTCCGGAGAACTTCCTGTCTATGCTATCTTGCTGAAAACAGGAAATGAGGAAATATGCACAGCAGAATCGATTTTCATCATCAGAGAGGGTATATAATCTCAAGGACCCCAAGCAGCAAGCATTCACTTTTGAGAAAGCTTCGGCGAAACGCGTCAAGTGAGGAAGAATTTTGGACTTTTATACAGGACTGGTTTTATAGTTTATTATTCACTTTTCACTTAATGTATTAAAGTATATATATTTTTTAAACTATCCAGTCACTCCTTTTGTCCTCCTTCCTATCCAATACTGCTTTGCTGCTATACCTGGGTCCACTATATCCCAAGGTGGGGATTATTCCACCTGAAATTCTCCAAACTAGAGCAGGTCGTTGCTCTAGTATATGTAAGTAGGATCATCCACTTTTTTTTCACAATATTTTATATTTACGTACTATACCATGTGGTGTATTTTACTCTTGTTTTTCATGTAACGAATATTTACACCTATAAATTCACCAACGGTCTTGAACCTCAAGAAATCCATAGACGGGGATTATTCCGTCCAGGCTCTTAACACCGAGCTGATATAGCTCCTCAAAGTGTGAGTGTGAATATAACACCTTTGCTCTTGTGGAATTATATCGTTCATACATACTGTACCATTATTTGTATTTTTGTTTCTCTTTTTTTTTTTAAGCTACTCTGCTGGCCAGTATTTCTACAAAACGTATGTACATTTTCTGATTTTTAGCGCTGTTCACCTTTCTATTTTATCTATGATTCCCCAGTGTCTCTTGTTCGTATGCTTCAATGTACCGAGCTTTCGTATAAAGGAAAGACGAATTACTGGAAGTCCCAGCGGTGTTTGTGCGGTCGAGTGCCTGAAAACAGTTCCATACACTAGACGACAAAACATCGCTGGCCTTTCAACAGTTTACGGGCAGGGCAACAGCTAGAATCTGCTCCTGCGGCATCGGTTGGTTGCTGGAGATGAAGGGCGCAATTCTCCCCTCTCAGGGATACACAGAGCCATTGGGGAGGGAAACAGAGGGCACAATATCTCAGATACTCGCATTACTGAAGGGGCAAAATCAGGGTGACTTGGGGGTTGGGGATTCGGGCCGACTTCTGCGTGCACGCAACTTTATTATCTTTAATTTGGACAGGAACAGATAGTCATTCAAACTAATTGGTTCAGGGGTGGAGACCACGGAGACCACGGTCCCATCCACCCCTCCCTTGCCAAAAGCCCTGATGCCAGCTCTTCCTCTGGGTAGGCACTCGGCTGCTGGGGAGAGAGACCGACTGTCTCTATTCTCTGAAACTCCTGCTGTGGTTGGGGATCTGTCAGGTTGGTGTAGAGACCTCGGTCTCATCTATACCATCTGCTCCAATTGTCCTGTTTCCTGATAACAGGCATTGCCGCTGAGGAGAGGAAAGGGTTGTCTCCTCTCCCTTTAAACCATACTGCCGCTGGGAAGTCGGAAGACTGTCTTGACTCCCAGTGCTGCTGCTGGGGAGAGAGACCGGTTATCTCTTCTCCCTTTAAATTCTGCTGCCACTGGAATCACACCGACTGCCTCTACACCCGGTAACGCTGCCTGGTGCTGGGTAGTGGGACCGACCGTCTCCACTCCCAGGGATGCTTGCTACTGCTGGGATGAGGGACCGACAATCTCCTCTCCCTGTGACGCTGCTTGGTGCTGGGGAGTGAGACCGACTATCTCTACTCCCAGGGATGCTTGCTGCTGAACTGCATTTCGTAGGTTCTGGTATTCCAACTCCAGTTCCCATTCTATAGCTAACAGGTGATATCTGGTCCCAGGCCTGTAGCATTAGGGAGCTTCAGTGCGTCCATACGGTATTCCCGGATGCCCCAATACCGAGATTCCTCTGTGCTGCCGAAGTTACTGTCCTCCTCTAAAGCCTCCCATAGAAGACCAGGGCCATTGTAGTCATCCCCCTCTGGTCTCTCATTCTCCGCCATCCACGGGCATCTCTGAACCGAGTACCACCGTACTGCCCAGTATGCCTCATCCAGCCACAGTTCCTTCTTGATCAGCCACTGGAATTCTATAATCTGCTCTTCCTGGGGTAGATACTCCAGTAAAGGCAGCCTCAGCACTGTTTGCTTCTGCCTGCGCCGTTCTGAACTGGGAAGACTCTCTCCCCCTTAAGCTTGAGACTGCTCCAGGGCATGGTGCCAGAGATCTCGCTGTACACTTTCTTTCCTTGCCAGCTTATCTTCTGAAGAAAAAGGGCCATACTCTGTTGCCAATGCGCCCTGTAGTCACCTTTGGAACTCCTTCTTATATGGGGACGCTGCCCGGGGTCTAGCTCACTCCATCTCCAGAGTTCCTCTATAGACAGGGACACTGCTGGACCCTTCACTGCACTTCTTGGTTTGGGATATCCATTTGGGAGAAAAATCTCGCTACTTGCCACCAATGTAAGGGATCCCAGTACTCCAACTGAGTACATCTCCCAAGCGCTGTAGTGATTATAAGTGTGAATATAGCTCCCATTCCCCTAAACATGAGCCTAGACTTCATGAAGGGTTAAATATATATTTCAGAGTCGCAGCAAACACGCCAAGGTACAAACTTAATTATCTCCAGGCACAGAAAACACACAATTTATAAAACACCCCAAAATACACATAAAATACACAAACACCCCACAGAAGTTACATCCCCTGATTGCCCCGATCTGGGTGACCAACATATCCAAAAATTACCCAGATCGGTTCAGGGGTTCGAGATTTCCATGGAAGTCAATTATTTAACCGACCGTGCACATGGTCCTGTTGTAGAATTATAGAATTCTTGAAATTATCTAAGCTAATGCTTTGGCAGGAAGAAATGTGCTGAATAATAAAATGTGTATTTACTAAAAGAACCTTGAAGCTAACAATACTAACTACTCAAAATGGCTGCCAAAGCACCCCTCCCATCGAGTGAACACCTTGTGCTAACAAGATGGCGCCTACATCTTGTGTCCACTCCTGCGTCAAGGATGACATCACCTCTTGATGGGAAGGCATCTAACTAACCACTTAACACCTGGACCAATCAATAGTGTTTATTTGCTGTTATCTTGAATTCTTCAGTGATGTAAAAATGCCTTTATAAGGGTCTGCGCACCCATTTTCTGTTAGAAGCCATTAAACTTTTCCGAAGTTCTTTTATTAACCTGAACCCTGTGTCTCAGTGTGAATTTACTTCTGCGTGCACGCAACTTTATTATCTTTAATTTGGACAGGAACAGATAGTCATTCAAACTAATTGGTTTGCAGAAAATAATCTACTACAATTTGGCGCCTTCAATGTGGGGCTCTGGGTTATGTCCTGCCCGGGCAGCCGTCCAAGAAGACGCGGGGGGGGGTGAATCCTGGGGGAAGGAAAAGAGCCTGATCACCTCTGAGTACACGGTGGAGACTGCTGCAGCACCTAGCCGGTATGTTCCTACCCCTGTGATTGACCTGTCCCAGTGTCTGTGACTGCTGCCGAGAGGACATCAAAGTCAGGTAATAACTTGCCCACAGTCTTTGTATTGTTAATGATACCTAGTTTACCTGCATGTTGACTATCTGTTGCCTGGGTGTGTTTGTATTGGTTTGTGTTTAGCTTAGTCCCCGGGGAGTGTGAGTGCCTGTTTACCCCTCTTAGGTGCTAGGTGGCTCTAGCGGTAAAGGAAAAAGGGGAGGGGACCTGGTGGAAGTCTGTGTGGACTCACTACTTTCTCAGGTCCGGGGTGTCACTTTGAGGGCCTGGCTAGCCTCATTGTGCACGTTACTCTGCTTGCAGAGGGTGAGACACTTCAGCCTCGAGCGCTGACGCTGGTAGTGTTCTGTTAACCTCTCAGTGCCCGCGGATACGGACAATGTTAGGTTGTGGTGGGATTGGATTCGGGCAGGCATTGCTGTTTCCATCACCGTGCGGTAGTGAGACTTGCGGGTGGGTCCGCAACAGGGACACTACGAGGTTGAGAGAGGTGGCTGAGGCCACACGAGTAAAGGAAAGGGATTTGAACTGTGATGCATGCACTGTATTTTATTTGAAATGTTGTCTTAATTGTCTGTCACACCGATTCCTGTGCTTGATCTTATCTTACTCTCTGTGTTATTTACACTTTCCCCTCTTATTTCTCTTTCTTGAGAGAAGTGATTGGTCACACACTTCTCGCCACGCTCCAATCTGCGGCTACCTCGGGTAGTCGGAATTAGTGACTAGTCTACGTTTTGGGAAGACGTACGTAGGAACCCACTCTTACGTAGCAGTCGAGCACTGTAGACCTTCTTTTCTCTCTTTCTCTATATCTGGGACGCCTTATATAGGGAGGATGGGACAGAAGTTAGATAAACCCAGTAAGGGTTGGTTAGCATGTGATCTAGTGGAAGACAGAGAAGGAGAAGAGATGGTTAAGAAAGTGAGGAAGATTGCTAAAGTATGTGGAATTACCGTACCTCCATGCGGCAGATTGCAGCCAGAGAGCTGGCGTAAGTTACTGACAGAGAAGAAAGGGAAGCTGTCGGACCACGATTTGCTTCGTACAGCAGAAGCCTGGTACCGAGTAGCAAGAGCTATTCAGCAAAAGGGATGGGTTGAGGAAGAAATTGATCACAAAGGTTTAAGATTGTTTGTGTATTATAATAATTGTGTTACTGGGAAGTCCTCCCAGCCAGCGCCCTATGATGGCGCCCAGGAGGTAACCACTCCCAACATCGCGTCAGCAATGACCGAAATGTAGCTGACCATGGTCCCTACCCCTGGTCCCCACCCTACCACCGCCCCTGTTTGCCCAGTCCTGAATGCTGATGGATCCCTATTCTCCCCCCCATCAGTCCTACAGATCTCGTCACCCTCATCCTCTCTCTGCACATCCAGTCCGTTTCTTCCGTCAAAGATTTCTGGTTTCCAAACATATAAGTCTCTGTCCTTCTGTCTTGTTACTTTACGGCGCTCACATGGTTAACCTTCATGCATGCAGTTTCTCTCTCTCCCCTTTTTGCACTCTGTCTCACTTTCTCCCCCCCCCCCTTGCCTAGGGGGGAGAAGTGACATGCCTGCATTTCGGAGCTACTGATAAGAGTTAGAGACGGGATTTTTGCTGGAAAATATTCTAATTGTGTAATAATATATATAAATTGTGTTTTGTGATAAGGTAGTGAGGATTGTGGAGGAGACTAGCTCACAAGAATGCATTCAGTGTTGAATACGGATTTAGGAAGGTGTAGCCTGATAACAATAATAGAGGGATATTTGGACGTGTTAAGTGTGATTTGTTGCAATACTAAGCAATGTGGATAGAGGGATTATGCAGTATAGCTAGGTTAGTATATGAAGAGGAAGGTGATTAATGGTTGTTGGATGATAAGGGAAATTGATTGAATTCCGTGAGTTTATTTTGCATCATGTTACTTTAAAGTACATGTTTCTATGGACAGCTTTATGGGCTGTTAAATGCATAATGTTCTCAACTGTCTTATTTAACCTGTCAGGTTTATTTATAGTTTAGTGTTTCATCTCAGAACTGACTTATTTTAATAGTTATAATATAGTGTATTGTTGAAAGTGCGTCAGCCACCACCCTAAAGATGGCGCCTAGTAGAGAAGGAGGTTGGCTCTGCCAGTCCCGTGACCTATCTACAGTCACGGTTGATTCTAAAGTGACGTCACTTCCGCCCTTACCATGCCCACACCTCCTGTCTTCCTTTCCCACACATATCATGGATGTCACACCCCTCTAACTTCCTCCCTTGCTGTCATTTCCTTCCCCGCCCCTGTCATGGCTGCCTCCATCATGAGGCCTACCCCTATTATGCTCGTCCTATTTAGAGACATGTTGTTTTCCTTACACTCTACATATTATGAACAGGAACATTATAATTACTAAAACAATCATGCCATTTGTTTCCCTGTATCAGAAATGTGTCTGTGATAATAATATAAAAAAAAAAAAAAGGTTGCTAAAATGTCATTTGCAACTGTGGTGTGACCTACAAATGAGATCTGTTGGACACGAATATAAGAGCATAACAGCTGATTATCCAGATTAATCTTGCAACAAGGGAAATAGCCAAATAATGCAAGTTATTTTAAACATTGTATCTTTGCTTAATCGAATCTTGCTAGTTACAGATCGTATGTTTACAGTAACATCCTGTACGTTAAATGATGGTTTAGCATTAGAAGGGTTTGTGACATGTTTTATTAACCCAGCCACTACTGGTTATTCATTTTAGTTACAGGGCGGTATAATTGTTATGGCCTAATTAACAATAGTTAATGTTTTATCCAAAGACATATAGGAACTTTACTTCACTTACTATTAACCATTATTTATAATGATAGAACCCACTGATGCTTAATGCCCCTGCCATGGCAGTGTCTACAGGGAACAAGGGGGGCCACTAGCCACTGTAACTTTACCTATTGAAGGTCACCCTACTACTTTCCTGGTTGACACAGGTGCAGCCCGCAGTGTTCTTAGAGAACAAGACCTGCCTGACCCATCAATCCTGTCTGACACCGATGTCAATGTTGGTGTTGATGGTACTTCCCGCAGTAACCCACTCACTAAACTCCTCCATGTGGATTCTGATATCCTTTCCCGGTTTGTTGTCTCCTCCACATGTCCCATTAACCTCTTGGGTGCTGATGTCCTATCCCGCCTCCAAGCATCCATCACCCTCACTGCAGACGGCCAGGTTCAATTAAATACACCTTTGTCACGAAAAGACAGTACAGTTCTTTGTTCCCTTCCCATTTTACTTGGAGATGACATCCCCACGACAGAAAAATGTTCTCTGGACCTCCTTTGTTATCTTGCAGATCAGGGGTGTAAGGCATCTCTTGTCAAACTTCAATTTTGCCAGGCCATAGTAATCTTTCTAGGCCATTGCCTGTCCCATGGCACCAGACACCTCACCTGTGATCGTGGCCATTCCGCCTCCAAAAACTCCTAAATCCCTCCACACCTTTCTAGGCCTCATTTCTTACTGCCGAGTGTGGATCCCAGAGGCCTCTCTACTCTGTCTGTCCTCAGAAGCACATGACAACTTCTACACTCTCCAACGTGCTATTGCCTCTGCTCCCGCCCTTGGCTTGCCAGACTACACCAAACCATTCAAATTATTTGTGTCTGAAAGACAAGGCCACGCTACAGGAGTCCTTACTCAAGCCCATGGACCTGGCGGCCGCCAAAGGCCTATTGGCTTCTTCTCTTGCCAACTAGACATTGTGGCTAGAGGAACCCCCTCTTGCCTCCGAGCTGTTTTTGCCGCTCAGGAACTCATCAACCACACTGGGGACCTGGTTCTTGGCCACCCTCTGACTGTTTTGGCACCTCATGATATTTCTGCCATATTTAACCAGGTCCAACTCAAACATGTCACCCCTGCCAGGCACCTTCGTCTCCAATGTCATCTCCTGTTACCTGACAATGTTACCCTTCAAAGATGTCAGGTTCTGAATCCGTCCACTCTTCTGCCACTCCCTGAGGGGGGTAGCTACTATGGATTTATCATGGATGAAGGCTATGTCCTACTTCTTACCCACACCATTAAAAAGATGCACCTCAATTTACCCGCCTGTGACGGGCCAGAATATGCCTTCTGTACCATGTGGTACAAGCCAACCATCAACCCTGACCCTCATTATGAAGATGAACTTTATCAATTAGTTGAGGTAAAACTCATTCTACAAGATTTTTACTGCGATACTGAAAGCAACAGTATGATTTTGGTTCAACTATCACCTGGACTTGAACATCTATATCACCATTGGGACACAGCCATTCCACATGTCCCTGTTACCAAATCAAAGATAAAGTCATGGGGTGATCTCGGGCCCATGGCAAAACTATGGGCCAGCATGGATGAACTACAGCTCCAAGAAAAAGGAGTTGTCAAGTACCCAACAACTGAACATGTAAAAGCATGGCCACGGTACTCTCTGGAAGAAGAATTTGAAGATCTGGTCATAAAGCACGACTATGATCCAGAAACGCCCCATAACTGTTTTGAACAGATGAAAATGGAAACAACACATTTGCCAATCCTGACCTCACCCTGTTTGTGGACGGCTCAAGGTATGCTGATGAAGAAGGAAAATATCACACAGGATATGCCGTCACCACAACAGATGAAATTATCAAGTCATCATCTCTACCATCAACAATGTCTGCGCAGGAAGCTGAATTACAAGCCCTAACTTCAGCATGCAAGATATCTGAAGAAAAGCGCGCCAATATCTACACAGATTCAAGATATGCACTGGGCGTGGCTCATGACTTCGGATTAATTTGGAAAACAAGAGGATTTCTTACCACTGCCGGTACACCAGTCAAGCACAGTTCTGCAATCAAGGAGCTGATGGATGCCCTCCTACTCCCAGAAGAAGTGGCCATTCTGAAGGTAAAGGCACATGGGAAGTTGGATTCGGATGAAGCAAGGGGCAACCATCTGGCTGATCAAGCTGCAAAACAAGCTGCAAGAGAACTACAGGAAGTGGACAGAGGTGTGTCCGGAAACGAAGAAACTCCCACATTTACCTTGCAGACACTTCCAACTGATCTAAAAATCCTATGGGAACAACAGGCTGCAGTTGCTCCTGAAGAAATACAAAGATGGAAACAGAAAGGGGCAGTTCTGAAGGATGGAGTGTACACCAACAACCTCAAGTTCTGCCTCCCTAAGAATTTGTACCCAGCAGTCGTACAATGGGCACACGGACCTGCACATTTATCAAAGGATCTAATGAATGCTCTTGTACAAAAATACTACCTCACTGTCCCCATATGAGATTCTATTTGGGACTGCACCTAGGCTAGGTTGCTATTTTCCCCAACAACTACAACTTCAAACTGATGTTTTAGTAGATTATGTAACTGAACTTGCAAATGCTTTAAACAAAATCCATGCCCAAGTTTTCTCTTCAATTCCAGATCCTGATTCTGATACGGGCAACCACAGTCTGCTTCCTGGTGATTGGGTCCTAGTCAAGAAATTTGTGCAGAAACACACCCTGGAACCAAGATTTGATGGACCATTCCAAGTTCTACTGATCACCTCTACCTCCGTCAAGTTGGCTGGGAAAAGCAACTGGATACACGCCTCCCATTGCAAAAAGGTTCCTGTCCCAGAGGAAGCAGACTCCTCACAACCATGTACCTCTGGTACATCATCCCTTTGATTAGTTTCCTTGAGGCCCAACAAGTGGCCATTACCAAAGATGCTAGTGGGTACACATTCTGGTATAATTCATCATGCACCCGCGTAGCTACATTCACCTTTGATTACTGTGACATAGTAGATTGTCCATTTCCCAAGTCACAGATTCAAACCATTTACAAAGATATACCACACGCAAAGGACCCCTATGTTTGTGTAGTTGACAAGCAATGGGGACACAACTGTGACCATTGGGGGCTGCAGGATGGAATACTGGGCCTGCCTGGGGTTACAAGCCCAAAAGTGCCTTATCTAAAGTAGATGACCATGGCAGATCCCTCCTTCAAAGAATGACTTTAAGAAAGCCAGGAGGAGGTCTGCCCATGAAATTAATGTTAAACATTGAGCACCCTGGTCCAAAGGATGCTGACCAATATGTAATGGGAATGTATTGGAAAAGTGGTTCCTATAACAAATTAGGTCATTTCTATCTTAAAGATATGTGCCACTCTCCAGAGTGGCAAGGGGCTGTTCATATGGTCCTGAATCCACTGAAACCACATATCCAGTCTTTTAAGGACATGATGGCCATTGCTAACCCCACCTTCGAAGACACCATGGCCACTGAAACTGGTTACAATGATATCAATCTATGGTTAGAGTGGATGAAATATAATGCTAATAAACATAACAAAACCGCATGCTATGTGTGTGGTGGTGCTCGACCTCATCTTGGCACCGTTCCTCTAACTCTCCCTTTGGAGATAGAGAATTGCTTCCTTTAGTCTTTTTGCCTACCGCTATAATTTCAACAGATCCCTCTGCGAAGCATGGACGGCAGAGTACCCCCTCTTAATTGGAAATGTCAAACCCCCAGATGGAATCACGATTTACAAGGGTAATTACACTTGTTATGCTATCTATGACGGGATTGGTAAATTCATGGGTAACTTTTCCAATGGCTATTGTGCCACCTACAGAACTGTTCCTATACGCCTGTTGCAACACCATACCAGGTCATTGGGGGATATTTACTGGTTATGTGGGGATCTACAGTTAAGATCTAGGCTGGAAACTGAGTGGTGGGGTGAGTGTACCCTAGCCAAAGTTATCATGCCCATTCATATTATTTCTGATAATCATAATGACACATACGACCCTCCACATACACCAGCCAGAGTGAGGCGCGAAACCCCAGTAAAAGGCAGTTTTGACCCCCACATTTACATAGATGCCGTTGGGGTACCTAGGGGGGTGCCTAATGAATTTAAAGCTAGAGATGAAGTCGCTGTAGGTTTTGAATCACTTTTTACCATAGTCACTGCCAACAAAAACCTTAATTGGATTAACTACATTTATTACAACCAACAGCGTTTTGTCAACTACACCAGGGATGCCCTCCAGGGCCTGGCCGAGCAGTTGCAGGCCACATCCCAGATGACCTTCCAGAACAGAATATCCTTAGACATGATTCTAGCTGAAAAGGGGGGTGTATGTAAAATACTACCTGACACCATGACTTATATCCCAGAAAACACAAGTCCGAATGGTAAAGTCACTTTGGCCATAGAGAAGTTAGAGAAACTCTCAGAGGAGTTGAAGAGGCATTCTGGGGTAACAGATCCCTGGGAAAGGTGGTTTGGTTGGATGTCAGGTTGGCAGAAAGCTTTAGTCCATATTGGTATGGCTCTACTAATTTTCCTTTTTGTTCTCGCTCTTCTCGTTTGTTGTGTCCTCCCATACCTTAGAAAATTCTTACAGAAGACTACAGACCAAGCGACACTAACTCTCACTCATCTGACAATCGATGATCAAGATCTCACCTCACCCTGTATTCCGCTACAAACTCTCCCTTATACTGATAAAGTGCAGAAGTTCTAGGAAGGGAACCAGTGCAGGGACAGCATCTGTCTCTACAGGCGAGTCTCACGTGCGGAGATGTGGTGGACTAGCCGCTGCGGGTTACCCACGGAGTGAAGTGTTCGATGCTTGTTAAGACAGATGAGCTGCAGCCCGTTAGGGTCAGATAGGGGTAGACATGCACTTTGCACTAACACCAAGCTAGCGACCATGGGGTTTCTGTGTCTTTGGGCTAACAAGTCTTCTGGTATTAACAAATAAAGTTTATCTTTTAGTAACTAACATTTTAAGGGGGGACTGTTGTAGAATTATAGAATTCTTGAAATTATCTAAGCTAATGCTTTGGCAGGAAGAAATGTGCTGAATAATAAAATGTGTATTTACTAAAAGAACCTTGAAGCTAACAATACTAACTACTCAAAATGGCTGCCAAAGCACCCCTCCCATCCAGTGAACACCTCGTGCTAACAAGATGGCGCCTACATCTTGTGTCCACTCCCGTGTCAAGGATGACATCACCTCTTGATAGGAAGGCATCTAACTAACCACTTAACACCTGGACCAATCAATAGTGTTTATTTGCTGTTATCTTGAATTCTTCAGTGATGTAAAAATGCCTTTATAAGGGTCTGCGCACCCATTTTCTGTTAGAAGCCATTAAACTTTTCCGAAGTTATTTCATTAACCTGAACCCTGTGTCTCAGTGTGAATTTACTTCTGCGTGCACGCAACTTTATTATCTTTAATTTGGACAGGAACAGATAGTCATTCAAACTAATTGGTTTGCAGAAAATAATCTACTACAGTCCTATCCCCAAAACAGGGCTAGCAGTCGGTCATCTTTGGTAACATAAAGAAGTTTAAACGGATTCCCAAACTGAGGAAGAGAATGGTTCCTGGGAAGGCAAAATAGGGGTTTTGTCACATAGAACAGGGGTACCCCATTATTGCACTAGTGACTGGGCAGCAATAGCTGACCAGTCACTAGTAGTTTTTAATTACAGCGAGCAGTCAGTGGCTGATCGCTGTTTAGGCGACATGCCCCTACTTGCAGCATTTGGGAGGAATTAACCTCACTTTTATCAATATGGGGTTCATAGTGACCCCCATACTGATTTATAATTAGTGATAAATGACAGCG